AGGCATAAACATAATTCTATGAAATCTTAAATAATGCATTTTTAAAGTTTGCGGTCAAATTAATGATAAAAAAAAAGTTTTTGAAATGTTGCGTACGATAGGATATAGCTATGCGTGCGTGCGCCTTTACTGGCTTGTGCCCAAAAGGTAGGGGAATAGAGAGGAGAAGTGATAGGAAAAGAATAGCAAAAAGACAGAGTAAAGGGGAGATTAGCTAGAGACGTGAGAGCGAAAGGACCAAGTCAGTGAGACTAGAATACAGGCGCAACTTTCCTCAACTATAAGTTATTCTAATAAAGCATAAGTTAACAACAAGTCACGCTTTTATTTACGTTGAGGAAGTTTACCTTGCACGATTTATTAAACTACTGATAAAAATTGATAAAGATCTGAAAATGTTTGCATCTCACTTTTATGATAGCTTTAATGACAATATCAAAATACAAGAAAAATAGTTAATATTACAATAATGCCTATGTAATAATAAAAATACATTATCAATAAAATTAATACTACTTACATCTAATGGCAATAGACAACTTCAAAACTCGAAACAGGTGCAAGAAGAAGTAATAAAGCTATGTATAAGATAATATATTTGTATGTATCGTGTGCAAGACAAGCCAGCCAAAATTTTTATCTGAAACTGATGAATTTTTTGTAACTTGTAGTATAACATTTAAAAATTGTGTATAATTATTGTGTGTCGTCACATAATAATTGAACACGGTTTGTATCAGTAATAGTATAAACTGTACTTAATATACTATTTCAGGAATTAGTCTTTCAAATAAAGTGTCTTCTTGATCAAAAACTGTAACAGAACCAAAATCAAATGTATGCACACTTCCTCATGTGCATACAAACAGCTGAATATACTTTTTCAATACTACAATTATTTTGATACTGTTTAAGTCATTTTTAACTTCACAAAATGGTTAACAAACATTTAGTTTTGTCAAACGTAACAATTAAAAAAAAGTGACTCCTTAACCAAGCCTCGAACCTGGACCTCTTTCTTGCCAAGAAAGTGCGCTACCAGTTTTTCCACCTAGGTCCAAATTAACGTTAAATAGTACCAGAAATAATAAATTTTTGTTTTTAGTTGACTATATTATCATACAAAACTGGTATTAAGTTCTAGGATTCGATTTTTTATTGGCACCTTTAATTGAAAGATAACAAGCTACAGAAACAAAATTTTTTTAACAAATTTCTGTACAAAATGATGCGGAAAGGTGAATAGGATAAATAGTACGTACATGTAAAACAATTTCTTATAAATTATATTTACCTATCTGAAATGATATCAGCCAAACTATTGGGATCCATGTCACTTAGCATCTCAAGATCAGTGTTGCCTGGGACAGATAGTTGAGAAGGCTCATGATGTAGAGAAGATACTAATATTTCAATTGGCATTCTGCAATCATTACATTTTTTGTTGATTTTTGAGACAGAAGTTTGAGAACAATGATCGGTATCATCGAAGAACATCAGATGAGGTGTTAAAGTTTTTAGTTTAACTGCAGTCCATTTTTCATTTTGATCAAGAATCATTAAAGGTAACTTTTTATCTAGCGTCGCAAAATATTCTTCATCATCTATTTCAGTACCTAGAAAGAAATTTGTCTTCAACGTAAGTCTGATACTTAATACTATTTAATATCAAAGGACAAATCACTTGTTTTTATTTAAAAATTATCACTGATTTGTACTGTTACGGTAACAATTAGGTGTCTTCAAAACAAATTTTAAATTATTTTTAAAATTATATTTACATTTATTAAGATCAGAAATATTTTTTTTAGTTACTTTTATAAAGTTGAAATTATTTTTTTTCAAATCCTGTGAAAGTAAAACAAAAAACTTCATCTATCCCCAATACAATCAAAAACATAATATAAGGCTGTAACTCTTTGGGAAAAAACAATAATCATCGTAAAACTAATTTGTGTACGAATTGTCGTCGTTATAATATTACTTTTGTTATTTATATTGTAATAATAATATTATTAATTC